GAAAAACATGTTGCCTCGGAAGTACTGGAACACAAATAGCCCCCTTAAAACAGGGGCTACAGGAATGATCCAGTATTTTTTTTTATCAAGCATTTTTTTTTCAGAACAAGGAAAAAGGTGACCTTGAGAGGCAACAGTACAGGCTAATTGGAGTAAAAAAAAGCAGGCACACGGCTACCCAACCAACAAACAGTGCAGGTTAACTTTATCTTGCAGGTTTCAGTGTTCCCCTGCATTATAAGGCAAAGGAGAAAAGGCTGAAGGCACAAGTCAAGTTATAGAAGTATATGTACCAATGTGGCCTTGAAAAAAAATGTTTTTTTTTTTTTTCTGAGGCCAGGTACCCTGAATAGTGGTCTTGAATGCCAAATCTGTTTGGTAGAAATTTGTTTGGTGTTTGCTTCCCTGCCCGGCAGTGAACACAGAGCACTCAAGGGCTTTTCTTTTTCTTTTTTCTTTAATTAAACTAAACCGAACAAGGCACCAACACAGCCCCACAGAAGGAGGGACTTGATTCCACCTGGTAGACGAATATTCCTGGTCAGGTAGAAGCCCACTGCCTTCTGCAAAGTTTTACTTGCCAGAGCCTGGCTTGTGACATGCTTCTTTCTCATCCATCCAGCTCCTCTGAGTTCAGCGATGAGCAATTGCCACTTGACTCAGGCACTGAACCTTGAAGCCAGCTTTAACAAACAGAAGGAACAGTTTGCGTACCCCCCGAATACAGGATGCCTCCTGATGCCTCCTTGCTGGCATCCCAGTGTCTCAACTGCTGAGGAAATCTGTAGTCTCATGTTCTTTCACCCACTTACCAGAGGGAAGCATGGCATGGGGCTGATTTTAAATTTGAGGGTGATGGAAGGACACACAGGGTCCTTGCACCTCCGGTATCTCAGACATCTCTGTTCTCTGGATCTCTCAATTTGACTACTGCCTGGAAGTGAATGTCCAAAAATAAAAAAACATGAGGTCGAGGGAAGAGCCACAAAAGTAGCTCAGCACTGAGGGTCATTTTCCTGCACAGTGCAGCTTCTCTTGCTCCCTGCAGGTTTCAGGGATCTAAACAAAAGAGGACAAGATGACCCCCTGTTCCTGCCTATGTATTTAGGAAGTCTAGTGCTCAGTAAAACAAAGTGGCTGCATAAAAGTATCTGTAATTCTGGGAAATATGATCAGAGGAATTACATGATCCAACAACGTTTTACTTAAGGTTGCTGAACTGCATGCTTATGAACTTCTTCAGCTGGTAAAGCACCACTCCAGATATTCAGATTTGAAAGTCTGCTTTTCTACTATAGCAAGTAAAAACTCAAAGCAGGTATGTAGTCTACCGGAAATCTGAAGTCAGCAGAACCTAGTAAACTGTCACAAGCCAGGGCAAACTGTGTCCCAGGAGCAGTTTTTGCCTTGGAAGCAAATATCACTGCTTTATCAGTAATCCCTCAGCAAGGAAAGGCAAGGAAGCACTGACTAACACAGTTGTCCCCCTTGGAAATACTGAGCTGTGAGAAAAGGTTAATATCCCACCAATGAAGCAAAGAAGATTTATTATATTCATTCTCCCTGTTCTGGAAGCAGATGGCTTTCATAGCTCATACTGTGGCTAAGGATTTTCAGAATGAGCTGTTTCATATGAAAGAAATGAAGGGAAAAAGCAATAGTAGGAGGCATGTTTACTAAGCAAATATATGGCAAGTGCATCTACTATAGCAGCTGGAGACAGGGGCTTCTGGGATGCATATGCACATGGAATAGCAGATATTCATTTCTCAGGGCAGGAGCAAGTGGGTCACCCTGCCAAAGGACACAATTTAAAGTCCTGCATGTAGCATTTAAGTCTTCAGAACAATACAGTAGCACTCATTTTCCCCCAGGAGTGTCTTGCTCTGATATTTTAGAATCAGTCTAGGTGGGTTCAGTTTCCAGCTTGCATAAGAGTTAATTTTCTTTCTGCACAAGTTCTACACACAGATACTGCCACATGTGAATGACTCGTGATGACCTGCACTGTGTGGCCTCCTGCTATAGGCAACTGAGGGAAAAAAAACCAACACAAAACACCACCACAACAACAAAATCCCACACTTCTTTCTCTTTAGGGTATTATTTATTGTTGCTACTCACCTTAATGAAAGAAAAGACAAAAACCACACCACAGTGTGTAATTCCACAGGGGTTCTAATGAAACCCAAACTAAACATGAACTATTATTGGTTTAGTGTTAAAAGTAGCAAGCTCATATAACAAAATCCAAGTAGCAAGTCACTGGAGGAAAAGTTATTAAAAAAAGAAAAGCTGCTTATGTTAATTAAACAAAGAAAATCTGCCTGGCAGACAAGAACAGCTTAGAAGCAAATGCATTTAAAGTATGTATCTATTTCTTGGTGTTCCCCAGATCACTCAAACACAGCCAGTATGTGTGCTCATCCATTCAGTCTTAAAGAAATTGTTGCTCATGTTGACTAAATCTGGGGAAGATACGTTGGTCTCTAAAAACAAAAGCCCATGTTTGTCCACCAGGTTTTGTGAGTAAAGCTCTGGAAGTAGAGGAAAGAGACTTCATCTGTGCTCCCTTTGAAAGGCAGGGTACAGCACAAATTAAAAATATATCAGACCTCAGAGAACCCCTTTGCTCTGGAAAACCCAAAATAGGGAAAAAGGTTCTGCCAGAGTTTATCATGAGGCACCAAAAGACGACAAGGAAACCCATCGATTAGAAAGCAGGCTCCATCAGCACTGCTGCTCACTCTTTACTGAGTATCAAATACAGAAGACATTACCAACAGCTTGGGTTTTCCCCCTCACCCCCAGAAACTAATTTAACAGTTGATCCCTGTTTTGCAGTAACCCATTGAGAGAAATTAGGTGATGCCAATACTCATGTTTTCCTTAATTTCATTTTTTCTGAGACCTGAGTGTATAAGCAAGCATGAACCCCACATCCTTTCAAGAATATATGCTACATCCTCTTATCTTTTCCCCTAATTTAGATTAAACTTCTTTAGAAAAGCCTTCAGTAATGACATATTACCCCATGTATTTGACATTAGTACACATTTAAAGAACAACTGCAACATATTTCATGGTAGTCATATTAAGAAAGTTGCACAGCTATTTTTATACACTTACCATTGTAGACATACTACAAACTGAGAGACTCAACAAGTCACCAAAAAAAGAAAAGATAACATCAAAACCAACATGAGTAGAGACTGTAAGATTCTTAGGTGCCTTGTTTGCTATTGAATATTCAAGGATTTCCAACTCTTAACTCTCTTAACTTTAATATTATTATTTCTCTGTTTTTACTTTTATGACATAAAATTAAGATAGCTGTTTCTAAGGCACAAGGTTTTTTTTTTTTTTTTTTTATTTTAGAGCAGGGATTTTCAATGTAACCACACAGAACCAAAAACTTTATGACCAGTGGCCTTTACTAATCTTTTACAACATCCTGCAGGTGAATTTCCATTATTTCCATTTAGGTATTGCTGCTTACAAAGAATAGCACATGTATCATAATAAAATTGTGATAATCAACCTGAATGAAGACTCAGCAAGCTCAGTGCAGGATAACTCCAGGCACCCAATTCTTCTTCATGTGATACATGTACTTTCACATGTTTGCGCATCATTCTACTTACCACTGATAAGTGCTAAAAGGTGGTGAATTTGTTTTAAACATACATAGATACCATTTTGATTGTATTCTACTTTTCAGAGGCGAATTATTGAGATGAATAGTGCATTGATTACTACAAACCTCATGAACACATTGTTTTATCATTGTATGTTTGTCATTGTTGTCACAAACACATAGATTGTCTAGTGAATCTGAAAATTGCTTCCCTTCTTTTGACAAGAGAAACCAGAGACATGTAAGATATTAAGAGCTGATATTTTTTATTTGTAATCAGATCTGTATCACATCTGTAGTAATTTCTCTCACCTCTGTTTTGTCCTGAAAATATAATCTGTCAGTGAAGATACCAAAAATACCTGCTTTCACCATGTAGTAAGAATACAACAAGTCAAAGGTAAAGTTTTCTTCTGTGCAACTCTCTCGTGTGCAGTACAGATCTCAGCTACGTATCCTGGATGCAAGTGGTGTGCAGAACACCTTTGTCAATAAGAAATACTAAATGCATGCCTTAATTTAGAAATATATACTATAGCTGGACACATTATTTGGCTCTTAGGGAAAACTACGCTATTTAAGCTACAGCATTTGTTTTTCCTTAGACTTCCTACCATTTTATCTTTCCAAGATATTAGATGTCTGACAACACTGAAAATGATGGGTATCATTTAATGGTTGAGCAATAGCGTGCCCAAAAGGGCAGGGATAGTGAAGTGGTATTGTAGAAGAGCATAGTGGGAGGAGAGTGGAATAGGTTCATATGAAGCAGTGGATCCAGCAAAAGCCTGGATTCACTGTGTTTTAAAATTCCTCTTTTTTTAACACTTACAAAAATAGGACACGCAAAAAATTTCCAGCCTACACACAGATTATTAAAATAACTACCAAGTACATATACATATATATATATAAAAAGAAACATATTTCAAATTTAGGGGGACAAAAGGCATTAACAAAAAGAAAATAACTCCCAAGAAATGAGGATGTTCCTGTTATATAGCTCTCCTTCCTACAGCACTGTAGGTGCATCCATGGCAAACATCGTTACGCACTATGAAGAGTTTCCAACAGGACTGCACTGCATCCACTAGGCTTGCCTGCTCATTTGCCTCAGAATTTAACCTTTACTCATGATCAGTTTTCTTAGGCTCTTAGAAAGCAAAGATGCAAAGAGTGCTTACAAAAGAGCTACCTCTCAGCCTAAGGCAAATTAACAAAAAGGCTAATGGTAAAAAACCATACCATTATGACAACCATTATGACAAACATGCACATGCCTCCCGACACAATTACTTCCACCTTTCAAAGTCTGCTTGGCTGGGAAGATTCACCCAGTGTCTATAGAAGTGAACCAACTGTGTACTTGCAATCTCAGTCAGTTTCCATTATCAGAGGATTCAGACAAACTTTAATCATGTTGAATTCTTCTTTGCACTTTTAAGCACAAGAAGATTGAGCCAAATCATCTTCTGTTATAGTCAATGCTGTTAAATTACAAATAAAAAAAAAAAAAAAAAAGAAAAAGGAACCAAGCAGTTTTCAAAGACTTAATATTACAGAATGTGGCTATTCATGACTAAGCCTCCAGCCATGAGAAAGAATCCTGAAATTGTTTAACACAAGCAGTAGGACACAGCAAGTTATAACCAATTACTTAAATCAGTTTCTTTGAGAATCATCTAACTGAGTAGAAAAGCAATTACAAAAGTTTGTCTCCTTTGCAGATCCTGTGTATCTGCTTCTCTGTATTTCTAGGTGTATAACTACAATAATTCAGTTGAAGCAGAGATACAAGCTATTCCAGAATTAAATATACTGTTACTTATTTCAGATGTTAATAGTGCAATCATCATTACAGTAAGGGAGCATAAAAGTTAAAGCTACATGTATTTAATTTCTATCTTCAGAAAAATCATGGATTTCTTCAGCAATATAGAGCAGTTAGAGGATAAGTTCTGTATTACCAGCTTAACACAGTGCTATTTAAAGTGAATCTATGTAACAACTGTAGATATCTGAAGTCACTTTATGCCCAGCAGGTGAGAAATATCTACCATGACAGAATTCAGACACAGTGTATTTCCATCCTTTAAGACAGTAATAAATCCAAACCCTATTTTTAAGCCACTCCAGTCTTAACTTTCTGTAAATCAAGCCCCATCAAAGTTCAAAACTGAAGGAAAAGTTGGCGAATTCCATATTAGCACATCAGTTTCTCTTCTCTTAGTATCAAGAAAATTGAAAGGAATAGTTGAGGCACAAGTGACTTTTATGCAGAAGTAAAAAGTATTTCAAATGAGTAGGCTAAAACTTCAGTACTTCTTTTAACTTCTTTAAAAAAAGACATAGACCATAGATCTATAATCACAGTCATAAATCACAGTCACCACAGTCTTACTGGATTGCTTTTCCCCCCATCCCAAGATGAAGAAAAAAATTGGTTCACGGAACTTACCAAATCTACTTTATACTGCCATTCGAGCATAGTTCATGTTTAATCAAAGCAAAGTACAAACTCGTGCTTCAAAGCAGCCTGAAAGCATTCTGCTATTTCTTCAGTGAAGACAGCTTCAGTGAACCCAGTAACTCCCCAGTTTGTGGGAGTCCATCCAGCTGAACTGACATAAACATTGCACGCAGAAATTACATGAAAGTGCACTGACAACAAGCTTTTCAGAATAAGTCCATATCATAAAAGCTTGTGCTTGGAACTACTTTTATAGCTATGGTTATTGTTTCTGTTAAGAGGCACTGCATAAATATAGATTTAGTCATCTAATGCACTTAATATTTCTCAGCTGAGGACTACTGCAGCTTTACCCTATGTCTAGGTGTGATTATACTTTGGTTTACTTTACGACAGTAACATTGCACTAGCAGTACAGCTGATACTAAAGAGAAGGCTGAAAATATGCAGACTGGAGGACTGAAAAAAACAATCTTCTCCTTTACTTCTTTTCATGCTTCTTGGTTAATTTTCCTCTTTCTAGCTGGAGGCTTGTACTGCTGTTTGTTCTCTTCTCCTTCTGCTGGCTCTCGTGGGAAACTTGCTGCACTGCTCGGAGGATAGCAGTTTGCACAATCTGCTTGCTGGCGTTCTGCAGCTTAACTTCATCTTGCTCTGTCCCTGGCTTCTCACCTGCCACAGCCAAATGAAAAAGAAAGGGAACTAAGCATTTGTGACTACTCTCTGAAAATCTGAAGGATAAAGAAAGAAAAAAAAAAACAACAAACCAAAACCACCACCAAACAAAAAAAAACACACACACACCCCTCCCCCCCCCCCCCCCCAAAAAAAAAACAAACACAACCCAAAACCACAAACCAAAACCAAAACCAAAACCAACCATGGAGTGCTTGGAAACAGTTCATTATGTAGGAAACCTGCAAACACAGAAGATGATGAAGTAGGGTAGATGAAGTAGGGCAGATAGTGCCTCCATATGCTCAGTGCTATAGGACTGAATGAAGGATGCTTTGAAACATAGAGCTCAGGTACCCATGCCTGCTTCCCAGCTCTGGGGACAGCTGTGGCTCCACTGCTGAAACAAGAACAGCTGCATTTTGCAGTAAGACAGGGCAGGGAGGTTTTGTCATCCAGCTGTGAATCATATCCTTTTTTGACTTGAGCTGTGCTTCTGGATGAGGAATTGGACTTCATTTTGCAATCCTGACATGAACTTTTTCACCACCATACAGAGAAAAATCTGTTTCATTAACATTTCTATTTACTTTTAGTTCAGACTAAAAGCACTCACCCATCAAATTTCAATTGACCTTGAGGTATAAAACTGTGTTAAGTGCCAGCTTGTTAATTCTTAGGTCCCTAAAAACATTTGCAAAAGCATTTAAAAAGGCTGAGATTGCTGTAGGTAAAGCAGGAACACACACACACATCCACGAAACTGCCTGTAGCAACCTGACAAATACATACTTCTTATGTGACACTTCCTTGTTTTGCCAGAGTAAAGACAAGGTCAAGGAAGGTGATTTTTCCTCCTCTGCTCTCGTTATCACGCGCAGTACTGTGCTCAGCTCTCGGCCCCCAACATAAGAAGGATATCGACCTTCTGACCCAAACCATTCTACGGTTCTGTGATTCCAGGATTGTTTGGGCCAATAAAACTATCAGCAAAATGATGAAAGCTTACTCTATGAGAAAGAAATTATTCATTATCTCTCCTGCTTCTTTGAAAGGGCTTCAAAAATATACTTATTTCTATCATGTTCATAATATACATGCTAAGGGTAAAATACAAGTGTGATTTAATGCTACTGAAATTGAATAATTTAAAAAAATGCAGCTGTACTGAGATGACAAAGTTTGCCCACAATTAAGAGGATAAACCCATGAAAACTTAGAAAACACATTTTAAGTTGGAAAAGCTGACCAAATGGAATCACTTGAATTCTTGGCACAGTCAGATTCCCTGATTCAGTTTGTTCCACCCCTCAGCACTTGAAACAGTGTTTTTTGGAAAAATTTCAATGTTGCTTAACAGGAAAGTACACATATTTCTTTATTACTCAAATATAAACTCACTTGGTATTACACAATGAATTAGTCTTCTTGCAGGGCTGAAAAAGACCAGCCAATTCAGCTGATATTCAGAAGATAATATATTAACAAAAGCATGGATAAAGAGGAAATTGTAAATACAAATGAGTATGCTGGAATGGACTATGAGATTATATGAAATGTGAAAAATTTTCCAACCCTTATAGCCATAAACCCCTCAAAACTTATTATTAAAAACATACTTTCATTAAGCACAGTGCTGTTTAAAATTAGTTTTCTTTCCTTAGGGATGCTTGGTTCTTGACAATCTACAAAATCTGAACTTTAAATATTTTTACATTAGGAAGGTCATCCACAGCAACGCCCAGTTGAAAAAATGGTAGTTTTAGTTTTCCAGTGAATTTCTACCCAAGTTTTCAGTCATTTATCATGGAGCATAGCCTGTCTGAAAGCATCACTCAGATAAGTGAGACCTACATTACGTGTGCCTAGCTTGAACTCATTAGATGACTCTTTTCTTTTTTTTACTGGGAAAACATATCAAGAACAAAACCCCCAAAATATCTGGGCTATTACTGCCCTGATGGTTTAGGTATGCACAGAAGGGAAATAAGGCAGCTCAAACAAACTTAAGAATTTTACACCTGTGTAACACATTTAGGCAGATAGTAACGCAGGTTACAACAGCTAATTGGCTTTGGACATGGAGAGAGTCAGAGATGTTGGCCTGGGGTGATGTGACCAATGAGACCATTGGCAGTTTATGCTGAGCATACAGATTAGAAAGCAACAGTGAAAAAAAATAGCCTTTTTTGAGGAAGATATCTGACATTGTATGGAGGTCTAAGCCTGCATTAGGACCATTATGTGTAAGAGCTAGACTGCCAGCCAGGATCCAGACATGTTGAGCAGTCAGACATGAATGTCCAGCTCCCCCAGGTGTGTGGTGTCCATCACAGCTGGCCCATCTGGACATGCCTGAACAAATGATTCGAGATTGGCTCTGCCTGAGCAGGAGTTGGACAAGATGACATCCAGAGGTCCCTTCTGTGTTCTAGCTGGTGAAGCTGTTATAAACTCCAACTTTTCCACTTCCTGAAGGAGTAAACATGTCTGGAAGACCATTCCCACTACTTCCTCTTCTTTCAATTATTCCTTTCAAGAACAGAAAATAGCTTTATGCTAAGTGCTGAGAAGGTCATTTATTTACTGATATGCTGGCACTGCTCTTGGCACAAGAGGAACTAAAGAAAACTGAGATGACTCATGTAAGGATCCCAAAGGGATCATGAGCTGGAACATATCTATCAAACTGCACCACCTTGCTGAAATACAGACTGCTGTGGATATAAACAAAGGCAGAAATCTGAGCGCCTGTAAAATTAATCAGATATTTTAAGAACTGCCTATTTTCCATTAGGTAAAACTGAGACATTGCTCTGTTGTCTAAGTATTTGGTGTTTAGCTAATCAGAATAAGAGTTACTAAGGTGATAAGATACAGCTAATTTTTACCTATGTTTTTTTGAGATTTGAAGAATAACTAGCTTTACTAAGATTTCCTTAAACAAAGTCATTTGAAGTAATTGCTGGGAAAAACTTGCAGGATACAGAAACAGCATTCTGTCTACTAGTTATCCTTGTCTAATGACTACTCTTTTTCTCTCAATGACAGAAAATCTTTTCTACTTATTCTCTATTTTTAAATGCTCACCTGACTTATACAGGAGCCCAGCACCCTAATTCTGCAAACAGAGAACTGAAAAATGCAGGTTAAGTGATACTAAACTCAAGTTAGCAATTTTACCTTAAGACATGACAAAGTCCCTTTAGCATGTTTTTAGTAACCTGTCTTTCATTTGGGGAGTTTTACGCCAACTAACATAGCAGATGAAGACTATTTTGTAAACTCCAGCCTGGTTGCACAATCTAAAGATTAGTTTGAGAGATTAAAAAAAAACAAAACAAAACCCTCAAAATTTTGGACTTACTGCAGGAATCAGTCACATATTTCACTTTTATCTAAAACTAGTGCCATGTATCAGTGAAATTCCTCTGGTTCACTTGAAGATGTTCCACATGAAGAAAAATTTGCTAGCAGTTTGGAAAATAAAAGTATTTAAAGTATATTCCAAATATTCATCTCAATTACTAGAACTAATATTAGTTTAAGTCCAAGAACATCTTGTGTAGGAGACTACATTCTCTGCACTACAGAATATGCATAGAAAAGTATACAAGGAAAATGCTAGCTACAGAGAAATAGCATTTAGCACAGCTTAAATCTTGAAAAACTTCACACTCTTTGCACATGGAGCTTTTAACACACCTTACTTTCTTCAAAGCATCCTGAGTCACTTCCTCTTCCTTTTCAGATTGCAATCAAAGTAGTCTCCTGCACTTCCTGTTGATATACCCTGTGCCTTTTCCCTTTCAGCTTGCTACAAGTTAAAATTAATGTTTCATAAACACTCTTGCTAAGTAACACTTAATAACAGGTAATTTGTATGAATCAGCAGTTAAGTTTTCTACCATATCTTTTCATCAGATATTTGGGAATACTATAATGAAGCTAAACTACCACAGGCATGATTTTGCTCTTGCAAAGATGCAAGTCCATCCCAGATCCACTGTTGGTGGCAATGAACTGTGAGGGGATGAGACACCTTTCAGTGAGTGCAGAATCAGTGATTTAGAAGGAAACAGGAGCAACATTCTGACATGGTAAGAGAGCAGGGGCTAAATGGTGAATGAGCTGTGGTAGGAAGGAATTTTGAACTCTTGGAAAACATGGACTAGAAATAATTTATCTCTTACTTTTTGAGAAAAGATAAGTCATTTGTGAGCTCACATGACCATGAATGTAAACCCTATCTCAGGAAACTTCTCTTGTTCCTCAGTTATTCCTTTTGCTTCTTCAACTGTATGACCTTACTGCTTTCCCAGGAGAAAAATAATGCCTTTCAAGTCACCTCTTTTCCAAGCATGTGACATTTACACAGCTCATCATGTCTTCCTGCAGGTTAGGTCTCATCCTGCCTTGAGGCACAACACAAACATTGCATTTGAAGAGAACAGCTCAGTTTATGACAACAGGTTCCGTGAATCCCAAGGGCCACGCCTCAGAGATCGGAAGTTTATGTTCTGTTTTACAGGAATAACAAATGCAGTTTAATTTCAGTAAATGAATGCCACCAAAGTCATTCTGGAAAAAATGAAGTTTTTGTTTGGGCAAAAAGCTTTGAGCTTAAGCATACATAAAGCTAACAATAAAAATCACATTCCTCTAAGCAAACTTCTGAGCAATTCAGAACTCATAATTACACAAAATGTATTCCCCTGTTAGCTACAATTCCATTTTATGCAAAATTTCTGAAGCTGAAAGAGCCATGAAGCAAATATTTTTTCTTCACTTTTACATGAAATTCAGCAGGTATATCCTTTAACTAGAAAATTTACTATTTGTTTTATTAATATATTGCTTTGGATTGTGATAGTTAACCATTATACTATTTTCTGCAGATTTGCAACATTAGAATTATTATTAATAAAAATTAATAATAGTCCAACAAAAATACTGCTGTCTGGTAAATCTATTTTAATTATACTGAAAATTACTGC